ATACACAGACAACAATGGGAGAGAAAATGTTCTTACGGTGTTGCAAGGACAGCTAGACAAAAAAAGCTTTTACCTGTGACGCATTTTTGAAGGTGACTTCTCCAGCTTGACAATTTCGATAGCTGATGTCGGAGTTAAACCGGTTGCATAGAACAGGTACCAAGGGTCCAGATTGGTTGTAGTATAAAGGGGCAGCAATGGGAGGGAAATTTCCATTGGAGACATTGGTGATGACCTGATTAACAACATTAGCCAATTGGTAGGAGACTTCCTTGCTTCGATACAAGGATTCATTAGCAGTGGACACATCCACACATGGGAGTATATCATCCAGTGCTGTCCTTGCATGAGGGTGATCTACCCATTCATCCATGGCAACACAAGTATCTGAAACAACACTGACCATCAAGAAGAACCAAAATGTCAGTCAAGAGACCAAAATCTAACCCCACAAAAAAAATATAAATTAAAAAATTAAAAATTGAGAGAGTGACAGAGAGGATCATGATGATGATGGTGGATGTGGTGGAGAGGTGCAATCAATTATTACACAACCGATTAAGAATACAAACTTCAAGACAGTCACTATAGGCAATTTTTTCTGTTACTTCAGCATGTTGGATAAGAAGTGGTGAGGTGCAATCAATTATTACACAACCGATTAAGAATACAACCTTCAAGACAGTCACTATAGGCAATTTTTTCTGTTACTTCAGCATGTTGGATAAGAAAATGAAGACTAATGATTTAAATATTAAATTTTAGTCCTGGTTCATATTCTTTTTTCTTTTTTCGGTAATCAAAATCTGTAGAAGTCATCCAGGCAACATACAATATTTCCCGTCATAAAAGAGTAAGTCTGTCTCAATTCACCAACAAATGCTCTTCAACTCACAATAACACCAAAAAATTCATATATATGTTACACATTAGACTTTCATATCTATATTCTTAATCCTATTTTGCATTCCAAGATTTCAGTGCTACTCAATAGATATTATAACTGATTAGTCCCATTTTCTTTTCATATTTCAACAAGTGAGACTCAATCCACCATAATGTTCTTCAACCCACAATTAGACAAAAATCCATCAAGAAGAGACTCAAAATGAGACAGAAACACAATCATTTTAAGATTGAGACACGAGAGAGACCTAGTATTTCAGTAGGATCCAAGTAAAAGCAAGGGCAGTGCGCATGCCTCTTGTTGCTAAAGTTGTGTCAACCAAATATTAAATACGAAGAGCAGCAACTGCAATATTCAATTGATAGGTTCCACCTCCGCACAAGTAGAGTATATCAGGCCCACCAGATCAATCTTATAGATGTAATGCTTACATTTCACGTATCCAAAATTTCAACCTTGGGTTAATGTTATTTCTGAGATGATCTCAAAAAATTACACGAAAAGCTGTGGAATGAAGTCAATGCAGTCCCATTCTATAAGTCCTGTTGGATAATGAGAAGAGTTCCTGTAATAAAGTTCTTCCTAATGAGGACCCTAATAATTTCTCCTTACCCCACATCAAACCACTGCTTGCCCTTGAATGGGACAAATTTTCAGCAAGAGACTAACACCTAACAGCATTTCCTTTCTTTTAAAAGGATGCTGATAATTGACTGGAAATGTATAATACAATGAGAGCATTTACTTTTGATACAAGGAGGTCACAATCATGTGTGACTGTTAGAATAGAAATCGAGTGAATGTGGATGTGGCATTGCTTAGGCACAAATTCCTAAATAAAATTTTTCGAATGTTGTGACACATTTTCATCTATTGGATTTCACATCTAATGGTTAAAAGTGATTGTGACTTGCTTGTACAAAAATAAATAGTCTCATAGTATACAATCCCTAATTGACCCCACAAGATCATCTAGCAAAAAAAGTAAAGGAACCCACAAAGGGCATGTCGGAGCTTGACACATGCAACCATGACTCTCTGCACATTGATCAACAGCTTACAGAAGAAGAATTTCTCGAGATAACATAACGTGTCCAAAAAAATCCTCTACTTCCCATAAAAATCTGGAGGCTCTTCATGTGTCTCACAATATTTTCTTCCATGGCTCATGGCTCCCATATTTTCCTGTTCCTCCAGAGCATGAACATAGATTGCCCTGACTAAGACTAAGAGGCACTCAGAGCATTAGTCTTCAATTCTTCTGGATGAATCATAATCTACATCAGTTTCTCAGCTTATCTTTGAAGCAATTGAATAGCTTGGTTGGGAAATCACTCAAGTACCCCCAAGAAGCAAAAAGCACTTTTTCCATCCTTGCTACTACCATGAATCGCAACTCATGAATCCATAGCTTACTTGATCCATCCCCAACGGGATTGGAACGTCAAAAACCTTTTAGACTTCTTTATTTTTCCGAAGACTCTTCCAGCTCTAGAAATGATGACACATGTGAGAACTATCGAAAATAAACTTTAATAAACTTAACAAGTCCAAAATCAAGCCTGAATCAAAATGACATCAACTACTACTCTTCTACCCTAATATCGAAAATAAACTTAAAAAGTCTTAAATCAAGCATGAATCCAAATGAAATCAACTACTACTCTTCTATCCTAATAGCAACAAACTTCAAGAGAACCTTAGAAAATCCTGAAGTCTCTCATTGCTGGCTTTCATACAAGCATCATTAACAGTTAAATGTGAGCAAAAGACTATTACAAATTGGGATTATAACTGACAGTTGTCAGAGGATTTGTTAAATTGTGTTGATCTGATTTACAACCTAAACACATACAAGCTTCTAAAACTCAAAGAATAAGAAACATATCAAGAGAAAAACCCAAACTGGGTAACATTCCCATGCGTTCTACATTAGATACACAGTTTCTCCGCCTCTAGTGAAGGCTTCAACATTATGGAACTCAGTGCATAACCAATTTTCTGGTTGTTATAGAAGTGCTCGGGTATGTACTCTTATAAAAGTGCTCGGGTATGTACTCTACTTTAGAACTGCATTTTCTCAGCCTCATTAAAGGGTACAACATTATATCAAACTGATTACAATGCATATCCAGAGTTCTTGCTCTTATAGAAGTGCTCAGAGTGTTCTCTGTGATCTAAATCTGACTAATATATGAAAAATACTAAGAACAGCATTGAAGTTAAACACAAACACAATACTGAATTAAACTATAATGAACAGCATTGAAGTTAACTTGGAATTTAAAATATCAAGATTTGTACAGGTTATACGTCTCAAAGCTCATTTATCCATGTATAAAAGCTATTAGAAATAATTTAATAAAATGATACATGATAAGTTAACAACAAAACTGGCATATTGCACTTTCTTTCAGGGAAGCCCTAACCACATAATTAAAGTGATTACTTACTTGTTGAGAAGAAGAAATACGCCACATAAAATGAATGTCCCAGCAACCAGAATCCAACCAATGACAACCAATCTGCAATTCATTCAACAAATGATTATTCAATGATAACTCACCTAAAACAGTGTCGGTCTGAAGATAATAATGTGAAAACAAGAAAAATGGGTGCTCAATCAAGATATTTACATGTATACAATAACTTGAATCCCAAGAATAGATAACACTGCAAAATAGCCAACAATGGAAATAATAATTAACAATTAGAGCTAGAAATAATGTTTCAAATGTACCAAAGAAATTCAAAGAATAGTGTCTGAACACAATGTTCCAAGGCTAAGGATTTAAATGCTTACGAAATCCAATAAATGCTAAAAATAGCATAACTGCAGCCACAACAATCAGAAAGTATCTCCTGCATCACAATAAACAAAATGAATCAATCCAACACAGGGAATCAAAAATAATTTTATTAGGTAAGCATAGAACACCCTATTAAAGATTGTAGAGGCCTATTTTAGTTCATAACCTATTCAATTAGTATTCCTCGAATAAGAAAAAAAAACAAACTTCAATTGGAATACAATTTGATGGCTTTGCCAGTAAACTCTTTCAAATAACATAAATTGAACTACACAGAAAACAGAAGCTCATTTCTTACACAGTATCAAGCCAATTCTGAATTTTCTGAGAATTGTCCTCAGTCCTATTTTGGAGAGTATTAGCCGAAGCATTTAGCTTTGTGACAAGATTTTCGATCTTAGCCTGATCATCAGTAGGAAGGAAGATGCGATTAACCCCCATGGTCTTAGCAGCTGATAAACTCCGCGAGAAGTTCTTAAGATTGTCAACTGTCAAATTAGCCTGGCCCACTACATAATCTAAGGTCTCTGTTGTGCTTTCATGGAACTTCCCCTGACCAGTATACAAAACAGCGCATCCAACTCTGCAACAAAAGCAACCACAGTCAAGTGGGTCAGCAGAAAATCCATGTGAAACAAGCAAAGAAAAAAAAACGCAAACAATAACATATAAAATAAAGAAAAACCCCAATGAAAAGGTGAAACAAAACCAGTATAGAGAAAAAAAACTCATCAACCCAAAGCAAATGCTTAGAAGACAATGAGAAAGAGATATTACATGGCGGCACAGGTGAAAAATAAGAGAAAAATGAGAGATAATGCATAGGCAACTCTTGAGTAGCTCGGAGCTCTCCGGGGGCAGCAACAATAGCAGCAACAACTGAGAAAGAGGACCACCCCAAATACCACAAACCAAACTCCAGCTATCACAAACAGGGGAGCAGCGGTAAAAGCAACAGACTGCAAAAAAATAAAATTAATTAGAGGAAACATGAAATTAATCTGAAAAAATTAATAAATAAAGAGAATTTAGCAAAATCTGAAACATGAGTGGGGTGAAAGGCATTTAATAAAAGAATATAGATACCATAATAAATATATAAATAAAAGATACCAAAAAATAGGAGTTTGAAAACAGACATGGAGAGAATAAAAGATCCAATCTCAGGATACACAATAATACCCAGTTCAAAGAACCAAACAAAATCAGGATACCAGAATTTCACAAGAGATCAGAGACATAGAGACAGAGAATGGAACGAGAATAAATCTTAAATATATAAATAAAAGATACCAAAAAATAGGAGTTTGAAAAAAGATATGGAGAGAATAAAAGATCCAATCTCAGGATACACAATAATATCCAATTCAAAGAACCAAACAAAATGAGGATACCAGAATTTCACAAGAGATCAGAGACATAGAGACAGAAATTGGAACGAGAATTAATCAGAGAATGGAAACAAACACAATACAGATTCTGAGAATTCAAAATAATAATAAGTGTTTTAAGTTACAGAAAAAATAACTTGCAACAACAACAGCAGCAACAGCAACACTGAAGCCCACAAAACAAAAATAATAATAAAAATAATAAATGATAATAAAAAGAGTTGCACTGAAGCCCACAAAACACAGAAATTAAAAAGAAAAGCACTGAAGCCCACAAAACGCAGAAATGAAAAAGAAAACCAATAATAAGAAAAACAATACATATCAAATTATATTAAGATTCGAAACACTTACAACCCAATAATGATGTTCACTTAAATTCCATCCACCAGTGTAGTGTTTAAAATCGTTCGAAGGATCTTGCCTTCGAGTCCTTTCGGCCGCTAAAACAAAAGACTCATTCCCTAAGGGCACAGCTGGTGCAGGAGCGATTTCCTCTGCAACTCTCCTCCATGAAACCACGCCATTTTTCTCTTCTGTCCAAAAAAAATCATAAACGCAACAGAAATCTCTCAAAACCCATATAACAAACACTACAGAAAATTCGCAAAAACGACATCATAAACATAACAAAAAGCTCTCAAGACCCATCTTCAAAAACAAAAATTTCTTACAAGCAAGTAAACCATAAACAACACGAGCCTCGCGCAATCGTAAAAAGAAAGAAATAATCGCCAAAAAAAAATAAAAATACCTGGAAAAGGATTCCCTCCGGATGTCTCGTAGAATGGTGGAGAGGAATAAGCATTTGAAGAACAGAAAAAAATGGAAAACAGGAAGAGAGAGAAGGCAGGGACAAATGCCACGGTTTTCAGAAAAACCATGGTTTCTCCTTCTAAGATCCTTCAGGAGAGAATCAAACGCCTGGTGATGGGTAAGTTTGAGAAAGAGGCTCACTCGTTTGCTCCAAAACAGAGAAGAGAGAGATACAAAAAGGAGACAGAGAAGAGAGAGAAACAAAGAGGACAGAGAAACAAAAGGACGAAAGAAGAGAGAGAGAGAAATGGATCGTTCGCGGCGATTATAATTATAAATGGGAGTGTGACATGAGAACGACGCTTCAGAGAATCAGTTCAGGTGAGGGTTGAAAATTAGCCTGTTTTTCTGTTTTTGACAATAATGCCCTTCTTTCCTAAAAAAGTGAACTCGAAATAAAATAAATAAATATATAATGCATTCCTTAACCTTGAATTTAAGTTCAAATGAATAGAGAAAATCGAAAATCCGGAAAAAAAAATCACTAGTATATTTCAACAAAAAAAGTATCAAAATAATTTTTAATTTAATTTCAAAATGCTCATCAAACTAGACATGACCATGATTTCGAATTGTTAAAAAAGGGAATATCATAAAAAAATTTAAGAAGAATTTTGATAAATTACCTTAAAAAGTTTTATTTTGAGAATAGAAATTTATGTTCCAGCGGATCCTTTCTTTCATTAATTCTGCAGTAAAATCCAGTTCGAAAAAGCTCAAGATATTGGGGTGCAACACCTTCAAACAATTTTCAGAAAAAATGAATATCAACCACAAGTTTGAGTGTTTAATGTTTCAATTTATATTTTTACAAAATATGCAATTTTAATAAGGCCGAGGCTTTATGAAAATAAAGTAAAGCCTCACCTCTAATTCTTGTCTAAAAAGCATTTTGAATATCAAAGATCTTTATAACAACTCTAAAATCAATTTCCAACACCAACTTTGAAATTTGAAACTAAAAAAATAGTACAAATCTTTGCGGATCTATAAATACTTATTTTTAGGACAACATGGATGGTCTAGATAATATATTATAACATTCTATTTGTATAGCTTGAAATTCTAAATTTTTTCACAACTATAATCGTCAAGGCCAAGATGATTGATTTGAAGTTTTTTTTATACTTGAACTGCAATTTTTGGTGAATTTTGAGGTGAGGCTTTACTTATTTTTATGGGGTTGTTGTCGTATCAAAAGATTTTTCTTTCAAAAAATTCATTAAATGACTTTTGGTTGGATTTTTAGAGTTCCATTATTAAAAAATTCTTCTAAGTGGCTCTTGACTTGGAGGAGCAAGTATATACCATGCATCCATGGGCCAATCCTATGTATACAATGTTTCAAAAACCGGATCAGTGTGGTGGATCATGACCATAGAAATTCATGCCAAATTGTTGGATTAGCGATTTAGATCAATCTAGATTGGTCCAAAATAGGTAATCTAAAAATTCATTAAATAATAATAAAAAACAATTGGGGCTTATCGAGAAAGATTGAGAGAACTTTACATCCCATAATCAGTCACAGTCAATTCTCCATATAACTTGACAATCTGGATCAAGAAGGGACAAGTTTTAAAATAATAGTGATGTATATTTATGTCTATTCAATGATAATCTTACAATCCGTCATTTTGAAATTTAAAAGACAATAATAATTGTGACCTCTATGTATAAAAAATAATTTTATTTTTTTTTTGTAGACCATCCCTAAAAATACCAATGATGCTTCCAAAATTTGCACCGGCCTTTTTGCATTTTGCTGCCTAAGTGGCCATCCACAAAAAAAAAAAAACAAATACAACAAGAAAAGAAAAAGAAAAGAGAGGTCACTTTATGAGGTCATATGCGGAGCTTATCAAATAAACTTCATTTTCAAACAACAAATGTAGGTCCAAACCTATGAGGCCATATATGGAGCTTATATATTGTTCAAGTATGAATTTTTAAATAACCAATTTCACCATTTATAAGACTAGGGCCAATCAAGATAATTTCCACGTAAAAAAGGTTTATAATTAGGTTACCAGAAGTAAAGAGAGAGAATGGGAGTAACAGTAGAGAGAGAAAGGGAGGTAATTTAGGAGGGAAGGAAGATTTTGGACCTGGAAGGTGAAACGGCTCTCTATCCAACGGCCACGTGTAGGTCAGGGCTAGGACACGGCAACGGATCTTTCGCGAGACGTGTCGGTAAGAAAACGAGAGACGTAACGCGACGCGTTTGCTGTCTGCGTCCCACGCGTCGCAGTTCCGGTTTGCGCTCGCTCCTGTTCCATTTTGGCCTTTTCTTGTTTTTTTTTTTTTTTTTCTCCTGAGCCGGTAGTTTTTAGTGGGTAGAATTATGGGCATCGTGACCTTTTTCTTAATTGTGATTTCCTTGTCTTCTTTTTGGAGAGAGAATCGGAGATGCGCCAGTATGGTTTAAATATGATTATTTTGAAATCTATCTCTAAGTTCATATAAATAAATTGTAATTTATTACTCTTCTCGGTATCATCGTGCAAAAAGAGACAAAATAACAATTGTTTTATATGAGCTGGACCGTATTTCTACAATACGTGTTCTAGATGTATAAAGCATCTCTAAATTTTTTAAAAATAAGTATTTTTTTTAGTTTTTATTTTTGTTTCATATTCATGATCTCCATATTAAAGATTATATATATTTTAAAAATTAGGATTCAAATATATTTAAAATATATATTTATTGACAAGACTGTGCTTTTATAATATACGGGCTGGTTGCATACCAACCGTGCCCGAGACAAAATATGTACAAAGCAAAATCTGAAAATCTAGATTGGTGGGGTGGATAGTTTATCCAGAATTGTTTGAAATTGTTTTATCAACAATCTAGACCAAGTCTGAATCAAGATTGATTTGGTAATCTAAAAAATATTTAAAATTAAATAGAGTGGACCTAAAAAAATATTAACAATTATAACCAATTCAACCATGATCGATTCTTATCACATATCTAGACTATAAACTATTTCCATGCAAACCTTTCTCTTCCAATCATCTATTTGGTCCTCTATCCCTCCTAAAAATGGATAGCTTTTTGGGCAGTGTTTTCGCCAACGATTTTTAAAATGGGACTAGGTCCTGATTTGCCAAGGGATGATTTTGATTCACCTTGCACTTAGATATTAGCAAACAAATAAAAAACTAAAAATTAAATTTTTTTTTTAGTAAACATAGGTTTTTTAATTAATTTTATTTTTTAACATATAACAATTAAAAATAAAACCCTTAAACATTGTGGTTCCACCATTCTCACCACCATCCTCGGGTTCTTCAAATTGGAAGGGCCAAACTTCCTAATCCAATTTGATAAGGGTGATTCGGCATGTAAGTCAATGGGCATTCAAATTTTGGAGTGATATGGCAATTCGTTTCTTAATATCTCTTTTTATCTTTTTTTTTTTTTTTTTCATTGAAGATGTCGGTGAGAATAAAACCCTAACTTAAACTTTTGGCTCCAACACTGGCAGCACTTCCTTATTTAATGAAAGGAATTTGCAACAAAAAAAACTGGTTTTAGGAATTCAACTTTAAAATGAGAACTTGCAACTTTTATCCCCTAAGAAAGATAGCATCTTTTATTTTATAGAAAGTTCGCATCTTGCCTGTTTTTGCTTCCAATGTCTTCTCTCTTTTGTCTCTTTCTCATTATCTCTAACTCTGTTCTCTCATTAAGCATACTCTTTATCTTTCTAAATCCTCTCTCTAAATATGTCTTTTGTTTTCTAATTAATCTCTTTCCAATTGTGCCTTTCTTGGTAACTCCTTTCTATTTAAATATGTCATTTCTCTCTAGCTCCTCACCATCTAACTGTGCCTTTTCTCTTCAATTCTGTGTAACTTTTCCATTTCTCTCTCTAGCTCTATCATATCTCTTTAAATCCTCTCTCTAGCTATCGTTCTCTTTTTAATCTACACATTACATTTTTTAAGTGTAGATTAGAGAGAGAAATGACATTATTAGAGAGAAATGGAACAACCTATCTTTCGCACCGCAACGAAAAGAAAAGGTTTGATATTTCCCGACAAACTTTGCCCCGAAAAAGAAAAACTTTCCATGGTTCGTTTTCGCGTCTTTCAAAGAAGTCAAAGGGCAATTTTGCGAAATTCCTCAAATTTCGTGGGTTGTTGTACTTTCATGAATTTCTCCACAATTCAAACGCCAACGCCCTCCTCCTCTACTTTTTTTAGTTTTATTTTTTTGTTTTAGAGTTGAGCTGTCGCGTTAAATATGTGGACACGGTTTCTACGCGGCTAGCCCGCATAATGTAGAAATGCTAGCTCGGCAATAAATATATATTTTAATTATTATTTTTTGATCCTAATTTTTAAAGAATATATGTGAGATCATGAATACAAAAAAAATGATGATCTTAATGGACTCTTTACCAGTAGGACCCCAAAGGATCACCATTAAAAATGATATATATCTCTAAAAAAGTTATCACATAGGTGTGAGATTTGATTTTTCTAGAGATCCATACTCTCTTTAAAGGTGATCTTTTGAGGGTCCTATACACATTGATGGGAGAGGGTCCTGTAGGATCATTTCTTATATAAAAAATAAATAATAGGGCAATGATTTCATGCGATCGTTGTACAGTACTATGATGCAGCAACTTTAAAAAATCATTTTATGACCATTTGTTTGATACACTCTTTTCATTCTAATGAATAGTCACAAAAAAGAAAAAATTGAAAACACACCCTATAAAGATTTTTTTTAGCCCAATTAATATAAGCCGTTTATTTTGATGAGATGCTTAGATCTATGCCTTCGAAGGATTTTTTCATTTCCAATTTTTGTATTGTTTTATTATCATTAGATGAACAATATTAAAAAAGAAAAAAATGATTTGAGTTTATAAAGGCTAAGATCTTGAAATTTACAAAATGAATGATTTAGATTTATTTTTTAAAGGGGACTTATTTTGATCATATCTAGTGTTTAAATTTAACTTTTTTTTTTTAAGAATTGATTATTGAGATGAAGAGAGTGTGTGTACAAAATTTGAGGTCATACAAATACCACAAACATAATTTTTTAGAAATATCATTACATTATACTATAATACAACTATTGCATTGGATGATTGCTCTCAATAATAATAATTATATTAAAAAAACATTTAGACTTGTAACTACCACTTTTTTGTATCTATTTTTAAAATGAATGCTTTATACCTCTAGTCCACGTATTATAGAAATACGTTGC